AAGGAAAAAGAGAAGCGAAAAGAAGGAAAGGAAAAAAGAAAAAGGGAAAGGGAAGAAAAGGAAAAAAAGGAAGAGAAAAGAGGCAAGGAAAGGGAAAGACAACTGAAAGGAAAAAGGAAAAAAGTGAAAAGAAGGAAAGGAAAAAAGAAGAGAAAAAGGGAAAGGGAAGAAAAGAAAAAAGAAGGGAAGGGGAAAGAGGCAAGGAAAGGGAAAGACAACTGAAAGGAAAAAGGAAAAAGAGAAGTGAAAAGAAGGAAAGGAGAAAAAGAGGAAAGAAAGAAAAGGAAAAAGAAGAGAAGGGAAAAGAGGCAATGAAAGGGAAAGAAATCAAAGGAAAAAGGAAAAAGAAGTGAAAAGAAAGAAAGGAGAAAAAGGGAAAAGAAAAAAAGGAAAGCGAAGAGAAGGGAAAAGAGGCAAGGAAAGGGAAAGAAAACTGAAAGGAAAAAGGAAAAAAGAAGCGAAAAGAAGGAAAGGAAAAAAGAAGAGAAAAAGGGAAAGGGAAGAAAAGGAAAAAGAAGAGAAGAGAAAAGAGGAAGGGAAAGGAAAAGAAAGGGGAAAAAGGAAAGGAAAATAATAAAATGAAATATAAACTATATTTTAAAAATATAAAATAAAAATAAATAATAATAAAATAATAAAATAAAAAGCTAAGCTAAGCTAAATTATAAACTAAGCTAAGCACTAAACTAAACTAAGCTAAAGCTAAACTAAGCTAAAAATAAAAACTTCACGGGCTGTTTCTGCCCGGTTTCGAACCGGGGACCTTTCGCGTGTGAGGCGAACGTGATAACCACTACACTACAGAAACGCCGGTGCGACTGCAGCCCTCCTTTCGGGCTTCCCATTCCTGCGTCTGCGCGTTGATTAGTAGCTGAGTTCAGCCTGGGAAACGCCCTGAGGCTTTGAGCATTGGACTTCGGGGTTCCATTGTAAAACAGAAAATCTTCACGTGCTTTGGAAAATAGATTGACCTCCCCCCCCCCGCTTCTTCTTTGTGGCAGTCCCTCAAATGTTGGAACACTGCTATCGTGTCACCTCTAGTCCTTTGCTTTAAACTAGACATACTCAATCTGAATGTTTCTTTCCCTTAACAGAATAACAGAGTTGGAAGGCACCTTGGAGGTCTTCTAGTCCAACCCCCTTCTCAGGCAGGAGACCCCATCATTTCAGACAGGTGGCTGGCCAGTCTCTTCTTAAAAGCCTCCAGTGATGGAGCACCTACAACTTCTGAAGGGAAATTGTTCCACCAGCAAATTGTTCTCACTGTGAGGAAGTTTCTCCTTCAATTCCAGGTTGCTTCTCTCCTTGATTAGTTTCCATCCATTGTTCCTTGTCTTGCCTTCTGGGGCTTTTGGAGAATAGGCTGACACACACACACACACCGAATTTGAAGCACTCCCCCAAGGAAAAAGGATGGGTTCATTTTTGGGAATGACTCAAAATGAGGAGGAATTTCCTGACTCTGTGAAACCTGAATTCATGGGATCGCCATCTTTGGAGATTTTCAAGCAAAGGTTAGGCAGCCATTTGTCTGAAATAGTGGAGGATTCCTGAACTGGACAGGAGATTAGTCTCAAATCAATCAGAATAAAGCTGGAAGGGACCTTGGAGGTCGTCTAGTCCAGCCCCCCCTGCTCAAGATTCTAGAAGACCTCTAAGATACTTTCCGACCCCTAGGAGGCTATGATTTTTCAGTCCTTTTCTCCAACCCAACAATCAATCAATCAATCAATCAATCAATCAGAATAGAGCTGGAAGGGAAGGGACCTTGCCTTGGAGGTCTTCTAGTCCAGCCCCCTCCTCAAGCAGGAGATCCTATATACCAGGGGTCTCCAACCTTGGCAACTTTAAGACTTGTGGACTTCAACTCCCAGAGTTCCTCAGCCAGCTTTGCTGGCTGAGGAACTCTGGGAGTTGAAGTCCACAAGTCTTAAAGTTGCCAAGGACCCCTGCTCTAACTATATGCCATTTTAGAAAAGTGGCTGTCCACTCTCTTCTTAAAAACCTCCAGGGATGGAGCACCCACAACTTTTGAAGGCAAAGCTGTTCCACTGGTTAATTGTCCTCACTGTTAGGAAGTTTTTCCTGAATTCCAGGTTGCTTCTCTCCTTGATTAGTTTCCATCCATTGTTTCTTGACTTGCCTACTTTGCTTTGGTAAATAAGTTGACCCCCCCCTCCTCTTTGTGGCAGTCCTTCAAATATCCTTGGTTCTGGGAGGGGGGGGAGAGAAATTGTCCCCCTCAGAACGGGTTCGCAATTTGGGTGTCCTCCTAGACTCACAGCTAAGATTAGAGCAACATCTGACAGCTGTGGCTAGGGGGACCTTTGCACAAGTTCGCCTGGTGCATCAATTGCAACTCTACTTGGATCGGGAGGCTCTCCTCACAGTCACTCATGCCCTTGTCACCTCAGATTATTGCAATGCGCTCTACATGGGGCTACCCTTGAAAAGTGTTCGGAGACTACAGTTGGTCCAGAATGCAGCCGCGTGAGCTATCGTGGATGCACCTAGATACACCCACATTACACCAATTCTCCACGAGCTGCACTGGCTCCCTATTGTCACCTCCCGGCTGGACTATTGTAATGCTCTCTACATGGGGCTCCCCTTGAAGAGCACTCTGAGGCTCCAACTGGTCCAGAATGCGGCCGCGCGGGTGGTTATGGGCACAACCTGTTGTGCCCGTGTGACACCCCTCCTGCGTGAGCTGCACTGGCTCCCAGTGGTCTTCTGGGTGCGATTCAAGGTGTTGGTCACCACCTTTAAAGCGCTCCATGGCATAGGACCCGGGTACCTCCGAGACCGTCTTCTGCCACCAATAGCCTCCCACCGACCAGTCCGTTCCCACAGAGAGGGTCTCCTCAGGGTGCCATCAGCCAAGTTATGTCGGCTGATGGGGGGGGGCCTTCTCTGTGGGAGCCCCAGCCCTGTGGAATGAACTGCCCCCGGAAATACGTAAGATCTCCGACCTCCGGGTGTTCCGCTGCGCACTGAAGACCCTGTTGTTCCGCCAGGCCGGGCTATCAACATAATAATTTTAATTGGGGTATTTTAAATTTTTGGGGTTTTAATCCGGCCAAATTTATTAAATTATTTTAATTTTTAATCATTGTTGTGTTTTTAAATTGGCTGTACACCGCCCTGAGTCCTTCGGGAGAAGGGCGGTATAGAAATAAAATTATTTATTTATTTATTATTTATTTATTGGTCTCCGGGCACAATTCAAGGTGTTGGTATGGCCCATGTATGAGCACGATACCCCACGCGACCCCCTGACCCCCCGTTTTGGGCCTAGTAGGCCTCCCTGCAGCCTCCTCGGCCCAAAAATGGGCTATGGGGGGGGGGCGCATGCCACACTACCCATGCTCTTCCGCCCACTGTGCATATAAACCCCCCACGCTTCCCAGCGCATACATGTGCGACCCCTTACACACACACACCCCGTTTTGGGCCTAGTAGGCCTCCCTGAAACCTCCTCAGCCCAAACACGGGCTGTGGGGGGGATGACCGTCACACCACCCGCGCATGTGACCCCCCACCCCCGTGCATGCACGTGCAAACCCCTGCACATGCATACGCATCTCCCGCTCTGTGTGCCAGCTGTGGCATGCATGCCATAGGCATGCATGCATGTTTTTTGTTTTTTTTTAAAATTTGATTTATATGCCACCTTCTCCGGAGACTCAGGGTGGCTTACAATGCGTTAAACAATAGCCTTCATTCTTTTGTATATTTATACGAAGTCAGCTTATTGCCCCCACAAACTGGGTCCTCAATTTACCTACCTTAGAAAGGATGGAAGGCTGAGTCAACCTTGAGGCTTGGCGAGATTCGAACTTACAGTAATTGCAGACAGCTGGTGTTAATCACAATGCTATCAGTCTGCTGAGCCACCAGGCCCTTGGCCCTTGGCCCAGGCCCAGGCCCATGGCCAGGTTAGCCATCACGGTTATAGATGAAGAAATATAAGGGGAAAAAATGGTCTCCGGGGTGTGGGGGTGCACTGTAATATTTATTTTTTCCCCTTTTTCTTTTTTTTTATTGTATTTAGATGTATATGTAATATGTTTGTATTATTTGTATTTAAAAAAATAAAAAAATAACAATTAAAAAAATACCAACAAGGGGAAAAGATCCAATGATGGTTTTAATTTCCAAAGCCGGCAGCTTACCATGATCTGCTGGTTTCTTCACTTAGGAAAAGCCAAAAACGAGGCCCTCCATGGTCTTATACCGAATGCAGGTCAAAGACAGTTTATGAATGTGTCCACATTAAAAGGAGACATACCCACCCACCCAATAGGGCAGGGGTGGGCAAATGTGGCCCTTTTCCAACCTGTGGACTTCAACTCCCAGAATTCCTGAGACAACCTGTGGACTTCAACTCCCAGAATTCCTGAGACAGCCAAGCTGTCTCAGGAATTCTGGGAGTTGAAGTCCACAGGTTGTCTCAGGAATTCTGGGAGTTGAAGTCCACAGGTTGGAAAAGGGCCACATTTGCCCACCCCTACAATAGGGGAAGGACTGTTTTACAATACAGGTCGTCTTTGACCTACAATCACAATAGGAACTGGAAAATCCACTGTTAAAGAGGTGCTGTTGCTGCTAAGCCAAACGTGGTTTAAGCAACAAATAGCTGTGAGTCAATGACTACTCTAAGGCACAACCAGGTGTCGGTCCGCAGCCCATTCGGAACTGGGCCGCACAAGCAGCGGGCGAGCGCATGTGCGCAAAGCTGAATTTGTGCAAGCAGTACGCGCGCACACAAAACCATCCTGCCCCCGCCCCCCCAGTCCTCATTGCTGGAAATATTGGGGACCCCTGCTCTAAGGCACATTCAGGTATTTTTTGTGGTGTGAAGACCCCACAAAAGGCATTCTTTGGAGCCCAACAGAGCATCTTTGACATATGAGAGGTGCCAAGCGCTCTAATTGTTATTGTAATGAGAGGATGCTGTATTTAGCTGAGAAAGGAAATGCAAGGAAATATACACACCCTTGAATCAACTGCCTCGGATCAAGGCATAAACTCATTTATTTACCAACAAACAACTAACTGGCCTCATAACAAGGACCCCCCCCGTACTTACAAGATGCTACTACAGAAATACAGTACAATTAAAAAAATCGTAGTGAACGCGACACCTGTAACAAAATGGCTACTATGATTAATTCAAGCTACAGCATACAGGTAAGGCCTTGACGTACGACTGCAGCTGAGCTCAACATTTCTGTTGCTAAGTGAGACAGTTATTAAGTGACTTTTGCCCTGTTTTACTACCTTTCTTGCCACGGCTGTTAAGTGAATAATTACAGCTGTTAAGTTCGCAGCACGGTTGTTAAGTGAATCTGGCTTCCCTGTTGACTTTTCTTGTCAGAAGGTTGCAAACGAGGATCACATGACCCTGGGACAGAAAACATGAGTCAGTTGCCAAGCGTCCAAATGTAAATCATGTGACCACAAGGATGCTGCAATGGTCATAAGTGTGAAAAATGGTCATAAGTGTGAAAAATGGTCATAAGTCTCTTTTTTCCCAGTGTTGTTGTAACTTTGAACAGTCACTAAATGAATGGTTGTAAGTCGAGGAATACCTGAACACACCCTTGAATCTACTGCCTCGGATGGGTCAAGGTATAAATTCATTTAATTACCAACCAGCCACCAATAACATAACGAGGATCCCATCTTGCTACTAGAGAAATACAGTACAATTTACACAACAGTTATTAACAAAATAAGTATAAGGTACTATAATTAATTCAAGCTACAGTATATTCCGATTCGCCACAGGGAATAGCCGCATCCAAGAGCAGCTGTCCCATTGAAAGCTAGATTTAAAAATGACATTTTAATAAATCGCCAACCCTGAGCGGTAAATCCATTAGATTTGCTTCATGCCAGGCAACTTCAGATCGAATTCGCAGGCTCTCGAATATTAAATTGAAAAAAGCTTGAATCCAAGCAGTAGAATAGGATAACAGAGTTGGAAAGGACCTTGGAGGTCTTCTAGTCCAACCCCCTGCTTAGGAAAGAAACCCTACACCACTTCAGACAAATGGTTATCCAATCTCTTCTTAAGAACTTCCAGTGTTGGAGCATTCACAACTTCTGGTGGCAAGCTGTTCCACTGGTTAATTGTTCTGTCAGGAAATTTCTCCTTCCTTCTAAGTTGCTTCTCTCCTTGATTAGTTTCCACCCTGGTGTCATTTAGAATTAGCTGCTTAATCTTAACTTTTCTAATGTCTTCTCTATTACAATTCATACAAAAAAAAAGGCCACTAGAATTATTTCTTAAGTTATTGCAATTTCTGACGGTCTAAACGTTCCTTCTTCTATAAAACCAGTCTGCTTGAAAAATCTAGCAACAGAGTACATGGACAGTATTATTATTTTCAGAAAAGATACAGCTATAAAGCTGTAAAGTTTGTTAGTCTCCTTCAAACCTGAGCGGAAGAGAGATTTCTATCCGCTCAGGGCCAGACTGGAGAATTGCTCTCTATTGCAGTAAATTTAAGGTTTGGATTGAGATTAATAGCAATAGCACATACCGCTTTACAGTGCTTTACGCCCTCTCTAAGCAGTTTACAGAGTCAGCGTATTGCCCCCAACAATTTGGGTCCTCATTTTACCCACCTCGGAAGGATGGAAGGCTGAGTCAACCTTGAGCCTGCTGAGATTTGAACTGCCAAATTGCAGTCAGCCGGCAGTCAGCAGAAGTAGCCTGCAGTACTGCACTCTAACCACTGCGCCACCGTGGCTCAATATGATACATTCACATATTGTGCTTCTCCATGGTTGTCCCGAAGATGCTTTTTCAAGAGGCAACTGGAGTATTTTCCTTTGAAGACGTTTTATTTCTCACAGGGTGGATAAAAATCAATGATATTTTTTAAAAAAATCAGATTTTTTTTTATTTAAATCGGATTTTTTTGATTTTTATTGAATTTATTTTAATAAAAAACTTTTGGGGTAAAAATCTATCGTAAGATGGTTTTCTATTTAAGATACATAAATAATTTAGTTTATTCAGCATGAAATGGAACTTAGTTATGTAGCAGGAGGCTGTATATTCTGCAACACTGGGACTATCGGTGAGTCAGCAGTGGGTCAAAGGAGTAGCAGAGATGACAGTTGCTCTTTAAAAATTATGATTTAAATCGAGTTGATTTAAATCACTAGTAAAAAGGCTTGATTTAAATCATGATTTAAATTGTGATTTAAATCAACTCGATTTAAATCAAATCCACCCTGGTTTCTCATCTAAGAAACTTCTTGGATGAGAAGTGAAACATCTTCAAATAAAAAACAAGGAAGTCCAGTTGCCGCTTGAAAAAGTACCTTTGGGACCACCGTCACCTGGATGACTGAGAATCTCCACAGACATACTCCATGGTTGAACCATGGTATGATGAACAAGTCACAATTCATGGGATTCACCCAACACAGGAAATGAGATCTAAGTGCCTGGGTTCCCAAGGAAATAACTTCAAAGTTGAATCAAAGCCAATTATGGCTCAGTGTAGGGTAACGAAACGCCAAACGTCACAAGAGACTCCTTGTCAGCACTTCAAGCTGCATTTACTCTAGTACTGACATAAGAAGGAGAAGTGGAGGCGTCTGGAAAGGGACGTTTGACTTTTCACCTACTTATTTTCCCTGGAGATAATATCCCCTAGGAGATGAGATGGGAGGGGGGAATTCCTTTGAGCTGGAGTAGATTAGGGGTAGAGTGATTTGGAAGATGGCCAATGAGTGCAGAGGAGTGGGGAAAGGAAAGGGAGGGGTTTGGGTCAGGAAGTCAGTGTTGGCTACGATGGAGTCGGAGTTAGAATGTCGTGCTTAATAAATGGGAGTTTTTCATCAAAGACCTTGTTTGAAATGCAATTTATTTGAGATGACCTCGAAACCTGACACTCCAGAGGTCCATGCAGGGCCCAAATGTTGAAAGCAGCATTGCATTAGAAGTGCAACAGAAGCTTTCATACATGCTTGCGATGTCACAACGTATGTTACAAAAGCGGTACAACTTGTGTTGTGTCAATGTGATGCCGTTTTCATTGTCAGCCCGCCTTCCCAACCCTCCTGTAGCTGTGCCCCCCAATCTTTTGGGCACCAGGGACTGGTTCAATGGAGGGTGGTTTTCCTGTAGACCAGTGTGTGTGTGTGTGTGTGTGTGTGTGTGTGTGTGTGTGTGTGTGTGCAGTTGTGTGTGCTGCCTGGATCCCACATTTGTGCGGATGAGGTTTAACTTGCTTGTGCGGCCCGGTTTCTGGTGGGCTGCAGACTGGTGCCACTCTGCAGCTTGGGGACTGGGGACCCCACCGTTTTACAGAAACCTCTGCTCCCACCTCCCCTCAGGATTGCAGGGTGCCCAGTGCGGATATATCCTATTGCCGTGATGGCAAACCTGTGGCACACAGAGCCATATTGGTGAGCACGCAAGCTCAGCTCCAGCGCACATGCGCACACTGGCCAGCTGATTTTCGGGCCTTCTGGTCCCACCGGAAGTCGGCAAACGGGCTGTTTCTGGCCTCCAGGTCTTGGGAGGCCGTTTTTGCCCTCCCCATGCTCCTAGAAGTCTCTGGAGCCTGGGGAGGGCAAAAAACAGGTCTACCGGACTCACTGTGTCATCATGTACCAAAAGCGTGGGGGGAGGGTCGTGAGCGCATGCGCGGGGTGGGTGTGGGCACGCACGTGCACGACCCCCCCCCAACTCCCTCCACTTTTGGCACGCGATGGCAAAAAGGCTAGCCATCACTGTCCTATTGTATATAATTGACAGCAACCTGCATTATAGGTAGGCCTCAACTTAACCCCGATCATAACTCTGCCAGGAATTCATTTGTTCATTATAGTTTCAGCTGGCGAGAACAGAACCCGCACACTGAGAAAAAGGAAAAAAATGCTCAAATGATCACAGGAAAAAAAGTGTAAACAAAATTCACCATGGAAATTAGGCCCTAACTCTAACCCTAACCCTGAGGACTGAGCACCTTCAGTAGCCAGAGCTGCAGGAAATTTGGAAATGTACTTTGTGCCGATGTGACTTCGGGCACAGGACAGGCAACCTGAGGCTTCCCAAATGTTTGGGGAAACCCTCCCCACCTGCTATTACCTCAACATATCCCTGGCCAGTGGCAAAAATGTATGGGGAATAAAACTAAAAACATCCAGAGGATACTTGGTTGCCCTCTTATGGATCCGAAACTTCACACTCACTGACCTTCCTTCCTTCCTTCCTTCCTTCCTTCCTTCCTTCCTTCCTTCCTTCCTTCCTTTCCCTCCCTCCCATCCTGATCCTAGTCGATCACCCAATGGCTCAATGTTTGGGAGATAATTTGTGTGTAAAAATCAACCCAAGATCCTTCCAAACAGATTGGAACAGAGACATCTAACCTATCCCCCGCAAACTCATGTCCACGATTTAAATCCTACAAAGCTGGTAGGAGATTCGCAGTGGGGGGAAAAAATGGCAGGAGGACACCTGTTCCTGGACTTTTTCCAGCATGCATCTCTGTGGCAGGGAAGAAGCACCATTTTTGATCCAGGAAATGACCCAGGAGAGAAGAAAGGTTAACTCTTCCCTTCCTCTACCGTGGGTTTTCCAGATGTTACTTGAAGTCTCTCCACCGTTCCTCTCAAGTTTCCCAAAATTAACGGGGAAATCCTGTCCAAGATATTCCCAGGTCAGACCTGATGTTCTTCTTTCCTCCTTATTTTTTCCCAGAAGAGGTTAAGCAGCCGCTTTCCCAAGTCTTCCCACAGTTCTCAATCTGGACCTCCAGCTTGGTCTTTGAGAGGGCGAAGCGTTGAGAGGAGGCGAAGCGTTGAGAGGAGGCGAAGCGTTGTGAGGAGGCGAAGCGTCGAGAGAAGGCGAAGCGTTGAGAGGAAGTGTTGACGGGGAAGCCTCGAGAGGAAGTGAAGACTCCACACTTTCCTTCTCGTGTCTTTTCTCGTGTTTCACGCGGGTGGAGTTGCGTTTGAAGCTTTTGCCGCAGCTGTGGCAACAGAAGGGTTTCTCTCCCGTGTGGGACCTCTGGTGCGAGATCAGGTGGGCCTTTTGAACGAAGCCAGCTTTGCAACGCGAGCATTTGAAGGGCCTGTCCTTCGTGTGGGTTCTCTTGTGCACAATGAGGTGGGTCCTCTGGCAGAAACTCTTCGGGCAGTGGGAGCACTTGTACGGCTTGTCCCCCGTGTGGGTTCTTTCGTGCTTGACGAGGGACGAGTACAAACCAAAGCTCTTGCCGCAGTCGAAACATTTGTGCGATTTCTCTCCTGTGTGGGATTTCTGGTGCCTCCGAAGGTCGGGCATCCGGGTGTAACTTTTCCCGCAAGTCGAGCACTTGAAAGGTTTGATCCCTCTGTGGGTCCGTTGGTGGGAATAGAAATGGGAGCTCCGATGGAAAGTTTTCCCGCAGTCGGAGCAGCTGAACAGTTTCACCTTTTTGTGGGCTTTCTTGTGTTTGGTAAGATGGGCGCGCTGGCTGAAGACCTTCCCGCAGTCCGAGCATTGGTAGGGCGTGGTCCTTTGGTGCATCTGCTTATGTTTCAGGAGGAGGAGACTCTGATTAAATTCCTTCCCGCATTTGGGACATGGTTTTGGTTTCCTTCCTTTGCCGGTTCCTGGCTGAAGGACGACTTTGCTGGTATTTTGATGGTCAGCGGGAGAAAGAATGGATTTCTCTTCTCTGGTCTTTTGTCCAGCTTCCCTCTGTCTTTCAGATTTGCGTTGAGGATTTGTTGTGGGCTCCTCTGGCCGAAGCCCCACGTCTTTTCTCAAGGCACCTTGAGCTACAATTTCCTTAACATTTGCTGAATGGGGAATGTTTTCCTTCTCTTTCTCCTTCTCTTTCTCCTTCTCTGTCTGCCTCTTCTCCTTCTCCATCTCTTTCTCCTTCTCTGACTTCTTCTCCATCTCCTCTTTCTCTTTTTCTGACTTTTCCTTCTCCATCTCCTTCTCTTTCTCTGACATCTCCTCCTCTGACTTCTTCTCTTTCTCTTTCTCCTTCTCTTTCTCTTTCTCCTCCTTCTCTTTCTCTGTCTTCTCCTTCTCCTTCTCCATCTTCCCCTTCTCCTTGCTCTTCTCTTGCTGCTGGGATGCTATCATAAAAAATGGAAAGACAACTCAGTGAATAAGTTCACCCCATTGGTTGCCCCAGGAATTAGTAGACACCCAAATCTCATATAGGAGCTGAAAGCAATTCGCTCATTCACATCATGCTATCAGAGCTTATCACTTCCAGCTATTTCAAACTGTTTTAAATTCAAATCACTTTAAATCAGTCTGGAAGTTGAGCCATGGCAACTGGACTTTGGTAATGCCTTGGTAAGGCCACACTTAAGAATACCGCATCCAATTTTGGTCATCGTATTATAAAAAAGATGTGGAGTCTCTGGAAAGAGTGCAGAGAAGAGCAACAAAGATGATTAGGGGACTGGAGGCTAAAACATACAAAGAACGATTGCAGGGATTGGGTGTGTCTAGTTTAATGAAAAGAAGGACTAGGGCTGAGAGGATAGCAGTTTTCCAATATCTTAGGGGATGCCACAAAGAAGAGGGAATCAAGCTATTCTCCAAAGCACCTGAGGGCAGGACAAGAAGCAATGGATGGAAACTAATCAAGGAGAGAAGCAACTCCTTAGAACTAAGGAGAAATTTCCTAACAGCGAGAACAATAATTTTAATTTAATTTAATTTAATATTTAAATTTATATACCGCCCTTCTCCCGAAGGACTCAGGGCGGTGAACAGCCATAGATAAAAAACATAGAAAGCAAAATTTAAAACCAATTAAAAAATATATTAAGCAATTTGGCCCAACAGTTAAAATCCCCCATTGAAAATTCAAATTTAAAATTACACCATTAGAGAATTAAGCCAGCCCGGCTTGATGAAATAAAAAAGTTTTGAGGGCCCAACGGAAAGTATGTAGATCTGGAATCGTCCGTATCTCTGGGGGGAGCTCGTTCCAGAGGGCAGGTGCTCCCACAGAGAAAGCTCTTCCCCTGGGGGCCGCCAGTTGACATTGTTTGGCCAACGGCACCCGGAGGAGCCCCTCTCTGTGGGAGCGTACTGGCCGGTGGGAGGCTCTCGGTGGCAGAAGGCGGTCTCGTAAGTATCCAGGTCCTAAGCCATGGAGCGCTCTAAAGGTGGTCACTAACACCTTAAATAAACTAGTGGAATTGGCTTGCCTTCAGAAGTTGTGGATGCTCCATTACTGGAAGCTTTTTTTTTTTTTTAATTTGATTTATATGCCGCCCTTCTCTGGAGACTCAGGGCGGCTTACAGTGCTTATTGCCCCCACAAACTGGGTCCTCAATTTACCTACCTTAGAAAGTACGGAAGGCTGAGTCGACCTTGAGCCTGGCAAGATTTGAACTTACTTTAATTGCAGACAGCTGGTGTTAAATTACAGTGCCTTGTCTGCAGAGCTATCCAGGCTCCTTTTAAAGAAAAGTCTGGACAGCTACTTGTCTGAAATGGTAGAGTCTCCTGCTAGAAGACCTCCAAACTCCCTTTCAACTCTTGTTATTCTGTTCTGTTCCATTTTGATGTCTTTTCTTGTCAGCCCAATATGTTTCGCTGCTTATCTGAGTAGCTTCTTTAGATAAGCAGCTTCTTATTGGATAAGCAGCAAAACGTTTTGAACCAACAAGAAGTTCAATTGCTATGACTCCATTTCCAGACAACTGTACCTGGATAACTGAGAATCTTTACCAACACTTTGAATCGGAAACATGTGATTTAAAGTTTGAAACACCCTACTTCCCATGCAAAATTATCTCATTTTGGAAAGATTTTCAGCTTGAAACACTCCCCTAAAATGATTAATCTATAAAAATTTAGACACAGCACTGAAAGTTACAATCTCTGGCATTTTTACATTATTTCATTTGTTTATTTGATTAGCATCCTGCTTTTGGGCTCTTTTATCCTTTTTTTAGGCAGCTTAATTTGCATTCTGATAAAGGTCCAGCAAAGGTTTGTGTCAAATTCCACTATGAAAACTGTTAAGTTTTAGTGACTCCAGCAATATTTCATTTATTTTCATGCAAAATATATTCGCAATTTCCGATATTATGGAGGAAATTTATGCGGTTACTAAGAGTTGACAACAGTTTGATGGCATGTAATCAATCAATCAATCACTTCCAATAATAAAAATGTTCAGAGCAATTTTTAGGGGAAAAAAAATCATGGCAAGATTTCCATTGAAATAATGTGCAGATTTATGACTATTCCTTCTCAGGTAGGAAATGGAAAATTGGAAAACATAATGTGGCTGAGGGTTTGTAATGTGACTTTTGGGGTGAGTCAGATTTAAAAACTCATTAACAAGGGATAGTCTGAGCTTGCTGGGGCAGATGGACACTGAACAGGTAGTCCTTGAGTTACGACCAAAACCGGGACCAGACTTTCCATTGCTAAGCAAGATGGTTGTTAAATTAGTTGTGCCCAATCTTGCATTTCTATTTAGAGAAATCTGGGACTGGCCAGAAACGTGAGAGCATTTGGGGAAATTTGGAGCAATAAAGGGACGGTTTGAACTGCCAGCTGTTTGTATTATCTCTGTGCTGTGCCCCGGATCGTCACAATGACCCATATTTCATTTTTCCCACCTGTAATGCTGACATCTTGATTGCCCCCTTTCTCAGAAAGTTGAGAGCGTAGACCCAAAACGGCCTCATCTTCTTCCTCCATCCAGGAGTTTGGTCCCAAACCGGTGAGCGAGAGAACTAGTACAAAAATAAAACCCAAGAAAATAAAATCTAGGGTGTTTTATTCAACCATCCTTCTTTATGTCTCAGCACAAAATGAACAACAGCAATGCAACAGCAATGTTAAGTGTAGAATAAAAATAGTATTAAATGACTGTCAGCTGCTCCCATGCGGTGACAGTCTGCCATGAACTCTGGGGAGGGTGAATGGGAAGGGAAATGCTTGGGGTGTGTGGAAAGTAACTGCTCTATGTCCCCGAGATGCTACTTCAAGATCACCCGGCTGGGAGAAGGCAGCTGCATACCAACCAGTGGTGAAATCTAAAATTTGTTACTACCAGTTCTGTGGGCGTGGCTTGGGGGGGTAATGTGACTGGGTGGGCGTGGCCAATTTTTTAAAAAACCTTTTAAAACCATTTTTTCTACAAGAGGTTGTAAAAAAAATGCTTTCAAAAGGCTCTGACGATTCCAGCTGAGTTGCCTGATCGTCAGAGGCTTTTTTTCTTTTAAATGCCTCTGACGATCCCAGCTGAGTTGCCTGATCGTCAGAGGCTTTTTTCCTTTTAAATGCCTCTGACGATCCCAGCTGAGTTGCCCGATCGGCAGAGGCTTTTTTTCTTTTAAATGCCTCTGACGATCCCAGCTGAGTTGCCTGATCGGCAGAGGCTTTTTTTCTTTTAAATGCCTCTGACGATCCCAGCTGAGTTGCCTGATCGTCAGAGGCTTTTTTCCTTTTAAATGCCTCTGACGATCCCAGCTGAGTTGCCCGATCGGCAGAGGCTTTTTTTCTTTTAAATGCCTCTGACGATCCCAGCTGAGTTGCCTGATCGGCAGAGGCTTTTTTCCTTTTAAATGCCTCTGACGATCCCAGCTGAGTTGCCCGATCGGCAGAGGCTTTTTTTTCTTTTAAATGCCTCTGACGATCCCAGCTGAGTTGCCTGATCGGCAGAGGCTTTTTTTCTTTTAAATGCCTCTGACGATCCCAGCTGAGTTGCCTGATCGTCAGAGGCTTTTTTCCTTTTAAATGCCTCTGACGATCCCAGCTGAGTTGCCCGATCGGCAGAGGCTTTTTTTCTTTTAAATGCCTCTGACGATCCCAGCTGAGTTGCCTGATCGGCAGAGGCTTTTTTTCTTTTAAATGCCTCTGATGATCGCGCGGCTCAGCTGGGCATGGGTGGGGGGGGGCAGGGATTTTTGCTACCGGTTCTCCAAACCACCCGCCTCCATCGCTACTGGATCGGGTGATCCGGTCCGAACCGGGAGCATTTCACCAGATACCAACCTACGCTTAAAGTGACAGTTCTGAAAGCATCTTGCTTGAACCTGATTGGTCATGGGGAGGTCAGCCATGAGAGACAGTTAAGAGAGGGAAAAGTTGAATTTAGGGATTTTGGTGAGCGATTCTCAATTATGGCTATGGATGACTTCAATACACTTGACTTTTAATAAAACTAAGCCTTTCTCAGCAAACGGAGCCAAGCATCATTTCTATTTAGAGGTTTAAGTGGCGGCAGATCTGACAGTTTTAATTGAGGCAACTGTTCACTGATTAGCTTTCTGATGGGATATCAATTGCACAAAAGGGTAAAAGAAATAGAATTCAGAATGTCGCTTCTGTACTATTTTTGGGGGCAGGAAAATGATTCATGAACAAGGAGCTTTTTTTATAATACATCAACATTTTATTGTAGGCACCCCTGTAGTAACGCTGCCTGGAAAGGGGGATGCCAGGCTCGAAATACCAGGGCCACACGTTAAATTCTGATTAAATTGAATTAAATTAAATCCTCCTATGCACAGAAATCTAGTTTAGACTTAAGAGCATTTGCGGCAACATAGAGATTCTAGGCAGATTCCTCATTTGACTCTCTCCTGCTATTCCTTTTCCTACAGGGAAACAATCTAAGTCAATTAAAATGTTCTGGGCAGAAACGAGGATTCTTCACTCCCCCAAATTCTTGAATTTTAAGAGTAACAGGTTCTCTCGCCAAACAGGACAACCCTCAGCTCATTCAGAAAGAGGTCACAAAGCATGGTGAGGAGTAAAGCCGATGAATGGCTGAAAAAATATGGGTATGTTTACCCTAAAGAAGAGAAGGCTAAGGAGAGACATGACAGCAGCCTTGTGATTCTTGAAGGGAAGAAGGTTGGGGTTAATTCTCCACAGGGCCAAAGGACAAGGCAGGCCTTGGTTAAAGGGCTGGATTAGAACAGCGGTCACCAACTGGCGAGAAAATTGTGGTGGTCCGCAGAAAAATTATTTGCATTTTTTAATATTGCACTAAATCAGGGGTCCTCAAACTACAGCCCCCGGGACAGATACGTGCAATGAACATTTGTGTTGCTGCAGAGAGTCTCCCCCTTCGGGATCTTTTTGTGTGGGTTGAAGGATGGCAGAAATTCCGACTTGGGGTCTGCTTCAGTCTCCTGGTACGGAGCTTTGGGCGAAGGCTGGAGGGAAGAGCCGCTGGTGGTGAAGAGCTGGAGGGCCTTGTTCCAGTGGGACTGCATCATGGCCTGGAACTGACTGACCATCTCAGCCTGCTGAGCCTCCAGGCGCCGGTAGCTGGCCTTGCACTCCCGTAGGTCTTCCCTCTGCTTGGAAAGCCTATACTCGTAGTCCTCAGTGAGGTGCTTTTGCTGAGCCTCCTTCTTCTAGATCCAATTTGAACTGAGCCAGCTGTTTCGCCAACTCTTTCCCGTGGTGGCTGCTTAGCTCCAACAACTGCTTCCTGTTGGGTCCTGTTGTGGCTCCGACCCCCGAGCCCATCTTATCGGAGGAAGAAGGCTCCGAACATGAAGGAGAGGAGCCGGCCAGGCCTCCCTCTCCAGGCCCCTCCTCTCTGGCAATGCCTCAGGTGTCTGCCGAGGGAGAGGAGATTGACCAGGAGCCAGGTGTCTCTGATGACAGCGATGAGGGTGATAAGTCGTTCCTGGATCCACGCCAACGAAGGCGAGATAAACGTTTGCAGCAGATGAGGAGGCGTGCCAGGGATTAAGCTGAGTCACTGGACCACACCCCACAGGCTATATAAGAGAGTGTGGTGGCCATTGAGACTCTGTGACGGACAAAGCTAACTTCTGGCTAGTCACTTTGTACAACGCTTAATCTGCTGAAGGTTTCATGTTTGAGCTGGACTGTTTTGAAAACTGTGTGTATTCGTTGGTGTTATCTGGTGGAGGAACACTCCCTCTTCTTGTAGTAAAGCACTTGGCAGACGGTTATCGTATTGCTGCCAAGTTCCTGATAACGAACCTTGTGTGTGCCGAGTACTTCTTTAACCCCCGGCTGGCTGTTTGTGTGTGTGTGGGGTCGGGGACAGAACAGGTCCCTAAAGAGGCAGGCAGGCGAGGAGTGGCTGAGAGGGGAGAAGTGAGTGGAGGCCGGCCCCTCGATGTGAGTGACATTGAGTTGGCCATGCCCACTCAGTCACATGACCACCTAACCACCCTCACCCAGCTGGTCGTTAGGCAGGGAATTAAAATTATGAATTTAGTGGTCCCTGAGGTCCGAAAGGTTGGTGACCTCTGGACTAGAAGACCTTCAAGATCTCTTCCAATCCTATGAAGAGGATTCTATGATTCAGCCAAGCAACTTCCAGTACATTCCACCATCCCCAGTCGATAATCAGATGGCTGCAAAAAGAGCTGCAACCCAACATATCTGGAAGGTTCCAGTAGAAGAAACAAAACCTAGAGATTCTTACCGAGAGAAGTCACATTTTCATAATTCTCCTGCATCACTTCCTTGTACAAGACTCTCTGACTGGGGCCCAAGAGAGACCATTCCCCCTTGGAGAAGCAGACAGAGACCTCCTCGAAGGAAACGGGCTAGAAGGAAGCAACCAGAAGCTCATTCAACAGGGGGGGAAAAATCAGCCAAATATAAATATACAAGTCATTCAAACAAAAGAAACACCTGTTCTATGTGATGGATTGAGAGAGGTGGCCAATCAGAGGCAAGCAAGGTGATTCTCCTTTTGTGACCTTCTGACAAGCAAAATCCATGGGGAAACCTTGGGGATTCGCTTAACAACCGTGTGACAATAAAACCAAGGAGCAGTGGACATTATAGAAGCAATAGATCAGACATCTAGTCCTTGCTTATCAATGGAGACCAAGTGTCCAGTTTTAAGTTTCTGGGTGTTATCTTAAAAGAGGGCCTGACTTGGGGCGCTCACATTGCAGTACTGGTCAAAAGGGCCCAGCAGAGATTATACTACCTGAGACTTCTCAGGAAACAACAACTGAATGAAAAACTGCTGGTGACCTCCTACCACTACACCATAGAGAGTATTTTAACTTACTGCACCTGTGTATGGTTTGCCAATTGCACAGTGGCAGATAGGACAGAGCTCCAAGGGTTAACATTGTTGCTCAGAGGATCATTGGTGGCCCTCTCCCCTCCATGGAAGAGCTTTATAGCTCCCGTTGCCTTAAGAAAGGTCAAAACATTCTTAGAGATCCACCTCATTCTGGGCACCCTTTTTTTTTTTGGAACTATTACCATCTGGCAGACGGTACAGGATAATAAAAACAAGGCAAATAGACTGAAAAACAGCTTCTATCCCCGAGTAGTAACTAGATTGAGTCCTCAAGTTATGACCACAATCGAGCCCAAAATTTATATTTATATTTATATCTATATTTATATTGGCCGAATGATTGAATTATTTTAATAAGCTTTTAATTTTTGTTGTACATTGTTTTTACCATGGCTGAGTCCCTCGGGAGAAGGGCAGTATACAAATATAATAAACTAAACTAAACTAAACTAAAATTTATATTGCTAAGCAAAACATTTTACGACTTTTGTTGCCACAGCTGTTAAGTGAATCGCTGCAGTATTTAAGTTAGTCAGACAGTTGTTAAGTGAATCTGACTGCTCCATTGACTTTGCTTGTCAGATGGTCGTAAAAGCTGATCACCCCGGGACACTACAACCGTCATAAGTATGAATCAGTTGCCAAGCATCCAAATTCTGATCACGTGACCACGGGGATGCTGCAACCATGGTTGTAAGTGTGAAAAATGGGGGTGAGTCACTTTTTTCAGTGCCGTTGTAATGTCAAAGGGTCACTAAATCAACTGCTGTAAATCGAAGACTACCTGTAATTTTGACTTTGCAGAACCCCGAGAGAGTCACCATTCTAGAAGATCTGCCAGCCACCCCAATATTCATTCCTCGCAATCAATGGCTCCTCCCCTTTCTCACCTGGAATGTCCCTCACCTGAGTCTGCTGGGTCAAAGCCAGCCCCCCTCCAGTCCTTCTGCAGGATTGGAGAAAGCGAAAGTACCCTGTGGATTTTTCTTGGGCTCCTGAGGAAAAAGCAGAAAATATTCTTCAGAAATTCATTCCATTTATCAGTTCACTCTGCACGCGTCCATCCAAAAGTCAACTCGCAAAGCATCCCTGGCCTTCTCTCTAGGCACGGTGGATGGGAAAACAGCGAAGCAGCACGGCAGCCAAAAACAAAAGCACATTTCAGACATATCTCTCTCAAGGCTGTCTCCCAGGGTTACCCACAGGGCAGGAGGGGAGTGATCTCTACAACCCGTGAAATTGCTCCGTTGGCAAATGTAACTGATGACACACCCTGGGGGGAGGGGGGGGAAACAGGGTCAAGTCCAGTGGTGAAATGTAAAATTTGTTACTACCGGTTCTGTGGGCATGGCTTGTTGGGGGGTTTGTAATATGACTGAGTGGGCGTGGCCAACTGTTTTTTTTTTTTTTAACTTTTAAAACCATTTTTTCGGCTGAAGAGGTTGTAAAAAAAATGCTTTTAAAGCCTCTGACGATCCCAGATGAGTTGCCCGATCGGCAGAGGCTTTTTTTCCTTTTAAAAACATTTTTTCTATAAGCTCTTCGGCCGAAGAGGTTGTAGAAAAAATGCTTTTAGAAGCCTCTGACAATCCCAGCTGAGCCGTGCGATCATCAAAGGCCTTTTTTTACTTTTAAAAGCATTTTTTCGGCCAAAGAGGTTGTAGAAAAAATGCTTTTAAAAATAAAAAAAAAAGCTTCTGATGATTGCGTGGCTCAGCTGGGCAATTTATTTATTTTATGCAATTTATATGCCGCCCTATCTCCGAGGACTCAGGGCGGCTCACAACGGTAAAATGCATAATTCCTTATTAAAACGATATAAAATTAAAATCCAATTTAAAACAGTTTAAAATTCATTAACCCCCTCCCCCTCCATCAGTCCAGGCTACGGAACAACCAGGTCTTCAACTCGGGGCGGAACAAGCGAAGGTCAGGGGCCATCCGGAGCTCCAACGGAAGTTGGTTCCAGAGTGTGGGTGCGCCCACAGAGAAAGCTTTCCCCCTGGGGGTCGCCAGCTGACACTGTCTGGCCGACGGCACCCTGAGGAGGTCCTGACTGTGGAAGCGCACCGGGCGATTGGGGATTGTCGCTGGCTGCAGGGGGTCCGAGAAATATCCTGGGCCTAGGCCATGAAGGGCTTTATAGCCTCCCACCGGCCGGTACGCTCTCATAGAGGGGCTCCTCCGGGTGCCGTCGGCCAAACAGTGTCGACTGGCGGCCCCCAGGGGGAGGGCCTTCTCTGTGGGGGCACCCACTATCTGGAACGAGCTCTCCCCGGAGATACGGAGGATCCCGGATCTGCGCACTTTCTGCCACACTCTTAAGATCTTCCTATTCCAGCAAGCTGGCCTGGCCTAACCTTTTTTCCCCTTTTCTTTTAAATTGAAAATTTTAAATCTGTTTTTAAATTATTGGGATGTTTTAAATTTGTCTCGGGCTACATTGTTTAATCTGGTTTTATTTTCGCTTTTAAATTTTGTATTTATGTATTTTATTTTGTGCCTGTTCACTGCCCTGAGTCCTTCGGGAGTAGGGCGGTATATAAATCTAATAAAACAAACAAACAAACAAACATAGGTGATAACTAGCACCTTGAACCTCACCCAAAGGGCAACCGGTAACCAATGCAAACCGCGCAGGAGGGGTGTAACATGGGAGTGTCGAGATGCTCCCATCACAACCCGCGCGGCCGCATTCTGCACCAGCTGAAGCCTTCGAATGGTTTTCAAGGGCAGCCCTAGGTAGAGAGCGTTGCAGTAGTGGTGGGCAGGGATTTTTGCTACCAGCCTCCATCCGAACCACCCGCCTCCATCGCTACCGGATTGGGCGATCCAGTCCGAACTAGGAGCATTTCACCCCTGGTCAAGTCTCAGCTGTAAATTACGTGGGGCCAGAGTTGGCTTCACTTGGAACGTGCCAAAACATGAAGCTCCTAATAAATAATTGGATTTCTTTTGAAGCTTGGCTCAAGGCTCATGATTTAATTAGGGCATCTGTTGGAACCCTGACTCTAGGAGCATTGCAACACAGGGATAGAAAAAACAAAATTAAAAAAAAAAAGTCAGATACTCCCAAAAAATTGGCTTGAGGGGGGCTGAAGTATTAACAATCACAAAAAAAAAACCATCCAGCCTTGAACATTTTTGGGTGGAGTGGGAAGGAGCCCGAGTGGCGTAGGAGGCTAATGCCTCCTACTAAGGCAGCATTTAAGCGAGTTCAATTCTCACCAGGCTCAAGGTTGACTCAGCCTTCCATCCTTTCTAAGGTGGGTAAAATCAGGACCCGGTTTGTGGAGGCAATAAGCTGGCTTTGTATAAAATATACAAAAGTATGAAGGCTATTGCTTAATGCATTGTAAGCCGCCCTGAGTCTCCGGAGAAGGGCGGCATATAAAAATAAAAAAAAATAAAAAAAATAAGAACTGTTCTGGAACTCTCCGCCTGGCATTTCTGCTTTGCGACCTGCCTATACCAGGACAACCACGACGAGAAAGAAATATATGTTTTTAAAAAGTAGGTTCATAACGGTTTTACCTGGTAAAACATATTCATCTGCCTCTTCCTCCAATTCCAGCTTCAGCAATTCTGAAAGGGGAGAAAGATACGAGGAGAGAGGTAAGAATCATGTTCCCGCCCCCCCCCATTTTAAGCTTACAAGGGATTGCAGGTAGTCCTCGACTTACAACAGTTCATTTAGTGACCGTTTGAAGTTACAATGGCACAGAGAAAATGACTTACAACTTTTTCACACTTACTGTTCTGACCTAGGCTTCGCCAAATCACGAAACAGACTCCTTGTCCCGAAAAAAACACTTTTTATTTGGCTAATGTGAATTCCTAGCATTCACATCCAGCAGAGTCCCGGCAAACAGTCTTTCAAGGGTAAATTGCAACTACAGACCTTATCAGTCCTTGGATAGTTGCCAGGCCGATAGCTTCCAGACGCAAGGAAATTCTTGGCAAGGAATCTCTCAGATAAGCAAATCTTCAGACTAATAAACAAATTAATTGTCTCCTGCAAACATCCTCCCCTTTCACTCCTATTTATTTCCTTTGGGAGGGGCCATTCAGTGTCCCCTTGTGCCTTTACTGCCGAGTCAACCTCTGTTCCTTAATTGTTCCCTTCTCCTGACAGCTCTGTGCATGTGCACATCGGGAACAGGCTCCAGCTGTTCTTCAGCCCCAATTACCTCCGGACTACGAAGGTAGCTGATAACTGTCGGAGGGCCTGGCCCATCTCTGCCTCCAACGCAGAGCACTCATGAGAGCCTTCCCCAGACTCCAGGACTGGCCCATGATCCTCCCCAACCTCCTCACTGTCTGTTGTGGTCTGCCCGCAGCCTGGGGAGCTGGCAGCGGAGTCGGACAGCGATGAGGCTGAGGAAGAACAGGGGCTAGTCCTGGAGGCTGAGGAAGGCCCGGATGAGGGCTCTGCATCTGAGGCAGAGATGAGGCCAGGGACATCAGGGAGTGATGTGCAGACTTCAGAGCCTCCAGAGGCTGACAGTAGAGAGGCAGAGGAACAGAGGAGCCTGTTCCTAGTGCACGTATGAGAAGAGCTGCCAGAAGGCAAGAGCAGATAAAGCAGAGAGGACAACTCGGGAGTAGGACCAAGAGATGATTGCCCCCCCCCTCCAATAAGGCTTAAAAGACCAGCAACGGCTCTTGGCCTCTTTGCCGGAAAACAACGTTGAAAGAATTGGTTCTTGTTTCACTGTATTCATTTCTTGTCGGCGTCTTCTGCTTCTGAACTTTTGCCAAGAAAAGCCTTTGGCAGTTTGCCTAATTATCCCAAGGTCAGTGATAAACTGAGGAATGGCGTTTTGAAGAATTTGCTTTCATTTAGTTTGGACTACGCTGAGAATGAGTTAATTCTCAGCTGTTCTAATAAACTCTGTTTGTTTTCGAACTGTTTGTATTTAATACTAACTACTTGGGCCTGGGTCACAACACTGTCCGAGTCTGCCGTCAGCTCCGCTGGCGGGCCACAACACATACGACCGTTGAAGCATCTCCATGGTCATGTGATCAAAATTCAGATGCTTGGCAACTGACTCATATTTATGACAGCTGCAACGTCCCGGGGTCCTAGTGATCCCCTTTTGCGACCTTCTGACAAGCAAAGTCAATGGGGAAGAACACGACCATGTTACTAACTTAACAACTGCAGTGAGTCACTTAATAACTATGCAAAGAAAAGTCGTAACATGGAGCAAAACTCCTTAATGAATGCCTTGCTTAGCAACATAAATTTTGGGTTCGGTCGTGGTCGTAAGTCAAGGACTAGCTGTAATGTCAGGGCTCCTGGGCTTAGGTGGGGGGGACCAGCCCTAACACCCCTCCTCCCCGCAGCTTCAATGGCTGAGGGGGGAATCAGAACCTGGGTCTCCCCACTCTTAGCCCAACCCCCTTCCTCTCTACCCGCCCCTGAATTTTGGACTGAGAGGGAGGGGTTGGCCCCAAATTCCTCCGGGGTTTCTGTCGCTGCGAAGGGACCAAACCCGTCTCTTTCTGCTCCTAGATCAACAGTAACTGTGAGAGGGATCTTGGAGTCCTAGTGGACAACCATTGAGATATGAGACAGCCGTGTGCAGCAGCTGCCAAAAAAGCCAACACAGTCCTAGGCTGCATAAACAGAGGGATAGAATCAAGATCACGTGAAGTGTTAACACCACTTTATAATGCCTTGGTAAAGCCACACTTACATCCAGTTATGGTCGTCACGATGTAAAAAAAGATGTTGAGACTCTAGAAAGAGTGCAGAGAAGAGCAACAAAGATGAGGAATTGGATATGTCTAGTTTAATGAAAAGAAGGACTAAGGGTGACTTGATAACACTTCCTATATCTCGGGGGTTGCCACAAAGAAGAGAGGGTCAAGCTATTCTCCAAAGCCCCAGAAGGCAGGACAAGAAGCAACGGATGGAAACAACCGTATTTTTCGGAGGATAAGACGCACCTTAGTTTTTGGGGAGGAAAATAAGAAAAAAGCTGATTGGCAGATGAATCGGCCTCCCGGAATACCCCCAATCAGCTGTTCCCAGAGCTGAATTTTAACAACAGGTTCCTTGGTTGTGAGCTCTGTGCCTTGCTTTTTTTCAGAAAAAACTTTTTTTTCTGCCTCTGAAAGCCTCCGAAACAGTTTCAGAAAAAAAGCCTCTGAAGCTCTGTTTGGGGGCTTCTTTTCTGAAGCTTTGTTTCTGATGTTTTTTTCAGCCTCTGAAACCTCCGTTTTGAGAAGCTGGGTGGGGTTACATTCGGAGTATAAGACGCACCCAGATTTTCACCCTCTTTTTTGGGGGAAAAAGGTACGTCTTATACTCAGAAAAATATGGTAATCAAGGAGAGAAGCAACCTAGAACTTGAGAAATTTCCCGACAGTGAGAACAATTAATCAGTGGAACAACTTTCCTCTACCCTGCTTCCCCTAAAATAAGACATCTGCTGATAATAAGCCGAATTGGGCTTTTGATCGCATGCGCTAAAATAAGCCCCACCCCCCCAAAAAATAAGCCCTCCCCGAAAATATTTAAACACATGTGCAGCCGGTCCCCACTATTTCCTCTGGTTAGGGTTAGGGAGACAGAGGTGGAAATCTGGTTTCCATCTTGCTCCACATGCCCCAAAGTAATAAGACATCCCCGAAAATAAGGCCGAGCATTTATTTCGGGGTTCAAAAAAATATAAGACAGGGTCTTATTTTCGGGAAAACATGGTAGAAATTGTGGATACTCCAACACTGGAGGTTTTTAAGAAGAGATTGAAGAACTATTTGTCTGAAATGGAATTGGGTTTCTTGCCTGAGCAAGGGGTTGGACTAGAAGACCTCCAAGGTCCCTTCCTTCTATTCTATTCTATTCTATTCTATTCTATTCTATTCTATTCTATTCTATTCTATTCTATTCTATTCTATTCTAATTCTAATTCTAATTCTATTCTCTCCATCTGAACTCACCTTTAAATGTGCATAAAACTTCTTTCAGTTCAATCCTCTTTCTCGAAAAACGGTAGAACCTGTACTCCATCTCTTCGAAATCTCTCTCACATTTAGAAAGCGTTCCATTCTTCCTGCTGATAAAAGGTGGAAAATATGATCCTTTTAGGGTTGAAACAATGGTCTTTATCCGATTTCCATCTAGCACTGATTTCCTAGTTGTCATCGCTTGTCTATTTTGACTCTCTAATAAACTCAAATCCTGCCTATACTGGATTCATCACACAATAACACTCCATATGTAGGCATGAAGCTTTTTGCCAAAAGTATGCAGGCAGTCCTCGACTTACAACCATTCCTTTAGTCACCATTCAAGGTTACAACAGCACTGAAAAAGGTGACTTATGACCGTCTTTTTTTACATTTACGACCATTGCAGCATCCCCGTGGTCACGTGATCAAAATTCAGATACTTGGCAACTGACTCACATTTATGACCGTTGTGTCCCAGAGACACGTGATCCCCTTTTGCGACCTTCTGACAAGCAAAGTCAATAGGGAAGCCCGATTCACTTAACAACCATGTTACTAACTTAACAAGTGCAGTGGTTCACTTAACAACGGCGACGAGAAAGGTTGTAAAAAGGGACAGATTCACTTAATTGTCTCGCTTAGCAACAGAAATTTTGGGGTCAACTGTGGTCGTAAGGTCGAGGACGGCCTGCATATGGGTCATTATGTTTATTTAATGCTACTTAGAAGGATGAATATCAATACTTCTAATACTGATTGTAGGAATTATTCTCACAATCGTATGCTCCTACCTTCCCTCAGGTGACTCCAATTTGTTCCTAGGATAAAAATGGCTGCCCATTCAGAGCAAAGACTCTGGTGTTCTGTCCCAGCTCCGGATTCCCAAGGATTGGGACACACACCAACGGTCCTTATCAAAGTTATAACGTACCAAGAATAAACAAAGTCCGGCAAAGGTTGGCAACCAGCCCAGAAAACAAGATACGATAAGACATTCACTCTTCAAAAATGCTCTGTAATAATTACACGTCGTTTCCAGCAAGAAATTACTAATTGCGTGGGACTTAAATAGGCTAAGGGAGTGGCCAATTATCCTTAAACCTTACTCTCGAGGAGACCTCCTCCTCCTGAGTAGCCACTCCTGCCTTTTGGCAGCCCTGCGTGCTCGAGCATTGAGGAGAGGCTCCTCCACTTCGCTCTCTCCACTTGAAGGAGCCTCTGGAGGTTCTGAAGGCCCTGGATGAGTCTCTGCCTCTGGCACCACATCCTCTTCAGCCTCCTCACTGTCCGACGTGAGCGCAGGCTGCGCAGGCTGCTGGCGCAACCCCACACCAGCCTCCTCGTCGTCGGGATCAGCCACGATCCGCGCAGGCTGCTGGCGAGCCACAACACTTGGACAGAATTTGATACTGAATATTTTTTCAGCCTGGGAGCTTTCCTTCTTACCTCCCTTTTATTGCTTTATGAAATTTACATGCTTGCCTATCCTAGTAGTGCGGTGGCCTAGAGGTGGGGCTCTCACCTCACAGTCAGGAGGCTGTGAGTTCGATCCCAGGTAGAGGCAGATATTTCTTCCTCTGGGGGGCAAACTGAGAATATATATATATATAAATTCAGACTCCACCCCGCAAGGGATTATGGAGTCGTTAAAAGATGAGGATGAGCTTGCTTGCCTATCCTGGTTGCTAACGATGAAAAACAAGAAAAATGCAATTAAAAGCAGATGAATATAATCAATACAAATTACCTGACAAAAGAATGAAGGAATCATTCCGAGGTCAACCTAATGAATAAAACACACTGAAACAATTGTACAAACATACCCCTTGGTTGGTTTTCTGAGGCTCTGCAGCAAAAAAAGAAAGGAAGGAAGAAAACAGAAAGAAATATGTATCAGGCATGATAGTCTTCTGGGAATAATTCAGATTCTTTTCTTCTGTAACCATTTCCCCATAAAAAAATTACTAAACAGTATTAATCATTTTCCCCTTAAGTAAAAGTGAAAAGTTGATACAAACGTAGAACTGGTTTTAATTAAAATGACCACAGAGCAATACGATTAATTATTCCCATAATTTAATGAATTAATCCAATAATTCCTGACAACGCTCCACTCAACTCGCTTTGATTAGTAGACATATATAGGTAGTTCTCGATTTACGACCACAAAGGAGCCTTATGACCTTTCTTGCCACAGTTCTTCAGTGAATCACTGCAGTTGTTAAGTGAGTAACGACACCGTTGTTAAGTGGATCTGGCTTCTCCATTGACTTTGCATGTCAGAAGGTCACAAAAGGGGATCACATGACCCCGGGACACTGCAATCGTCATAAATGTGAGTCAGTTGCCAAGCATCCGAATTTTACTCATGTGACCATGGGGATGCTGCAACGGTCATAAGTGTGAAAAACAGTCATAAGTCATTTTTCTGGTGCCTTTGTAACTTTGAACGGTCACTAAATGAACTGGTGTAAGTTGAGGACTATCTGTCAGGTTGACTCTATTTTAGGTCTTTGAAGTGAGGCACAGGGGGCTAAATCCTGTCTCTTAAGGATTATTTTGAAGGAGCCATTTTTGTAAGTAGCTGAGAGGTCCTTGACTTACAACCCTTCATTTAGTGACTGTTTGAAGTTACAACAGCATGAAGAGAGTGACTTATGACCATTTTTCACACTTATGACCGTTGCAGCATCATGGTCACATAATCAAACTTTGGACACCTTGCAAATGGTTCATATTTATGACGGTTGCAGTATCCTGGGGTCATGCAATCCCCTTTTGCGACCATCTGACAAGCACAAAGTCGACAGGGAAGCCGCACTCACTTAACAACCGTGTGACATAACTTTTAAGAACTGGAGGGATTCACTCAACAACTATGGAAGGAAAGGTCGCAAAACGGGGCAAAACTCACTTAACAGCTGTCTCGCTTAGCAACAGAAATTTGGGGCTCAACTGTGGTCATAAGTCGAGGACTGCCTGTATACGTTGAGAAGCAGCAGGTGGATCTTTTCGAGTCGAAATCAAGAAGGCCCAAAATCACATTTCATTTTGGGAAGCGGGGTTTTAATTTCCCACCTTTGACAGAGGCTCCTTTTCTCCTTTCTCCCAGGCGGCTCCGTCATGGCCATTTCTTGAAAGGTACTCATCTCTCCTCGCGATGATGTCCTTCTCCAGCTCTTCCAACTGCCTTAACAAGAGCTCTTCTTGATCTCGGAGAAATCTTTGCAGCTCTTTCCATTCCCAGACAATAGTCTCCCGCTCCGATTCCGTCTTTTTCTGTAAGGTCACAACGGAAAAACACTGCGTTACTCTATTCTCAGCTAGGCTTTCTAGGCCGAGGAAGGGAGGGTCTGTTGTGGTCCGCCAGCAGCCCACGGAGCAAGCAGCGGAGTCGGACAGTGAGGAGGCTGGGGAGGACGATGGGCCAGTCCTTGACTCTGGGGAAGGCCCAGACAAGGACTCTGCGTCAGAGGCAGAGATGGGCCCAGGGCCATCTGGGAGTGATGTGCGGACTCCGGAGCCTCCAGAGTCAGACAGCAGAGAGGCAGAGGAACAGGAGGAGCCTGTTCGTAGTGCACACATGCACAGAGCTGGCAGAAGGCAAGAGCAGCTAAAGCAAAAAGGACGACTCAGAAGTAAGGCCATGAGATGATTGGCCCCTCCCATAAGGCTTAAAAGAGCAGCAAAGGCTCTTGGGCACTTTGTAGGAAAGCAACGTTGCTAAATCTGTTTTCCAGTCAGCGTCTCTTGTTTCTGAACTTCGTGGGGCTTTGCCAAGAAAAGCCTTCGGCAGGGTGCCAAAGAAGGTAAAATTTTGTGATAAGCCCGAAGGACTTGTTTTGGAATTAATGTGGACTAAGCTGGGAATGAAGTAATTCTCATCTGTTATAATAAAATAGTTTTGTTTGAGAATAATTGTGTTTTGTAAATGAGCCTAGGTCACAACAGGGTCTAAGCTGAGGGTCTTAGCCCACCTTAGCGAAGGTGAGCTCTCGTAAAAAGGAAAAAAGAAAAATGTTCAAAGGCGGGGGGGGGGGGGAAGAAAATTCTAAAGGTCTAAAGACCTTTTTATTTCACCAGGCGGGCCTGGCCTAATTTTCTCCCTCTTTTATAAAAGAATTTTTAATTTTTAATATTTTTTAGTATTTTATATATTCAATTTTTAAAATTGGTTTTAAATTGATTGGGGTTTTAATTTGTCTGGGCCAAAACTATTTAATTTGATTTTAATTCTGCTTTTTAAATTTTGTATGTATGGATTTTATTGTTGGCTGTTCACCGCCTTGAGTCCTTCGGGAGTAGGGCGGTATATAAATCAAATAAAAGTAAAGTAAAGTAAAAGTAAAGAAAATGATTGTGAGAGGAATCTTGGAGTCCTAACAGACACTGAATTCAGTCCTAAAAAAATGTGGCACGGAACCAGTAGGATTGCCTGTTTTACATGATTGCAGGCAGATGCTAGATTTCTGCCTTCACAGGTTCCAAAATTTTTCTGGGTTTCATTCTGAAATGGTGAAGCCCCCTACCCATATCTTAGAAGAAGGGCCAACTCATACAGGTAGTCCTCGACTTACAACCCTTTGTTTAGTGACTGTCCAAAAAATATTTTTGTAAATGAAGACCACAGCTTCATCCAACGAAGACAGAAGAAACAGGTTTCCATCTTTGTAACAAACCAACAGGCAGACGGCTTGATGTACAATTTAAGGGAAATCAACTCAATTGTAACATTATTGCATCTTAAATATCTTGGGTCACTCTGGACAGGACACTTTGCTATAAAAAAAACCCCTTGAAGATCTCTGCCAAACTGAGAAGCAGAAATAACATCCTGCATAAACGATGCAGCATTAGGTGGGGTTCAACAACAGACACACTGCGGGTGTCTGCACTTAACCTGGTTTACCCTCAGCAGAGTATTGTGTCCCAGTGTAGCTTAATAGCCTGTAACAAGTAAAACTGACGCACAATTGTATGAATCAATGCACATTGTTAGTGGGACAATTTGATCTACTCCCCCATACTGGTTGCCTGTTCTGAGGCATATATATTCGACTAGCTGGACGCCCGTGCTTCGCTACGAAACTATGTGCTCAGGCTTGATAAATTGACACTTGCAGTCTGAAACTTAATGTAGAATGTGTAACTCCGTAGCATCAGTGTGTGTTAATATAATGCAACTGGCAGTTGGAACAGAGAGGGAGGGGGAGTAGAATGTCCCAGCCCGCAGCATCCATCGGTATTCATCTGGCTAGCATCCTGTCAGGTATTCATCTGGCTAGCATCCTCTCTCATCCTGTGTGAGAGAGTTGAGGGGTGTTTGGAAACTCAAGCAGTATTTGCTGTGTGAGCAAGAAGGAGACTGGGCGTGGCTTAGCTCAACTGTTCTGTAGTAAAGCTACTTGCTGCTGTGAAAGTAAAACTGAAACTGAAACTCCTCTCCTCTGCTTGTGTTTTCCATTTGGCACAGATTTCTTTTGAGGTGGGGAGGGGGAGTAGAACTCCTTAGCATCAGAGCGTGTTAATAATAATATAGGAAATACTAATGCTCTGATGGTCATTTCGAAAGCAAGCACCTAGAAGCCAAGAGGAACATACATGGCAAATTTCAAGTTTGTAGGCTTTACGGTTCTGGAGATTTCGTGATTAATGTGTGAGTGGTTTTTGCTTTTATATATATAGATAGAAAATTGTCCCCCCCCAACCAGTGGTGGGTTGCTCCTGGTTCACACTGGTTCACAAGAACCGGTAGTAAAAATTTGTAGTAGTTCGGAGAACCGGTAATAACATTGGCTGGCCATGCCCCCGAACGGGGCCCCGGCCCAGTCACCACTCGCTTACCCCGCCTACCTCATCAGAGGCTTTTTTTAAAAAAAAAACTTTTAAAAGCATTTTTTCTACAACCTCTTCGGCCGAAAAAATGCTTTTAAGTAAAAAATAAAAAAAGCCTCCGATGATTGCGCGGCTCAGCTGGGATCGTCAGAGGCTTTTAAAAGCATTTTTTCTACAACCTCTTCAGCTGAAAAGGTTGTAGAAAAAATGCTTTTAGAAACCTCTGATGATCTCAGCTGAGTTGCCTGATCGTCAGAGGCTTCTAAAAGCATTTTTTTCTGCAATCTCTTAAGGTTGTAGAAAAAATGCTTTTAAAAGTAAAAAAAAAAAAGTTGGCCACGCCCACCATCACATTACCCCCCCCCATCAAGCCACGCCCACAAAATAAGCCACGTCAACAGAACCGGTAGTAAAAATTTTTTGAAACCCATCCCTACCCCCAACCCTACCCCAATGTTGAAGCTTTTTCTGTATCTTGGAAAAACCACCTGGATTTGACCAGCCCCTTGTGGTATGGACAACACTAAACCATACTGGCACCTCCAGACCCCATCTTTTGAATGCAGCTCCTGCAGGATCTCCAACTTGGTTTTTATCCACCTTGTAGCAAATATTGGACGAACAGCCATTTCTAAGGGCAGCCTTGAAATGAGAAGGTTGTAAAAAATTCAAAGAAGAGAAGTTCAAAACAATGTTACAGTAGATCTTACCAGCAAATCCTCACTTTTCCTTAGGTAAGGGAGTTTCATTTCTCTGCTCTTTTTCACATTCTCTTGCAGCACTTGAGTATCTAGGATGAAATGCCAAAAAGGTTAAAGAACTTTTGCATAGTCCAATTGAATTCTCTTCTTAAAATAACTATTTTAAAAGGAAACCCTGAATCTTAGCTTCTGAAAAATTAAATATGAAGCCGGAGAACCTCTCTTCCAGGATTTTTAATCCGTATGTATATAGAAGATATTAAAATATTCAGGTTTTGCTCGTTCGCGTGGATAATACCCGCAACTCAACAAGCCATCCTGAGTTTGAAAACTGTTTTCTGCTTGCAGGTAACACGCAACGTGTTCCAACAATCTGTGTTTGTTTTGTCATGTCCCTGTAACAGAATAACAGAGTTGGAAGGACCTTGGAGGTCTTCTAATAGACCAACCCCCTGCTCAGGTAAGAAATCCTTATACCTGTGATGGCGAACCTATGGCATGGGTGCCACAGGTGGCACGCGGAGCCATATCTGAGGGGACACGAGCGTTGCCCTAGCTCAACTCCAGCACACATGTGCCCGCCAGCCAGCTGATTTTTGGGCCTTCCGGGCCCACCAGAAGTTGGGAAATGGGCTGTTTTCAGCCTCCAGAAGGGTTGAGGAAGGCTGTTTTTGCCCTCCCCAGGCGCCTAGAAAGCCTCTGGAGCCTGGGGAGAGTGAAAAATGGGCCCATTGTGCCATCGCATGCCAAAAGCGGGAGGACCGCGGGGGGAGCACGTACACATGCGCGGGAGGGCGGGACACAAGTGGGCATTGAATTATGGGTGTGGGCATGCACGCGCACGATCCCCCCACTCTCCCCCCACTTTTGGCACATGACGGCAAAAAGGCATCACTGCCTTATACCATTGCAGACAAATTGTTATCCAATCTCTTCTTAAAAGCTTCCACAGTTGGAGCGCCCACAATTTCTGGAGGCAAGTCGTTGCACTGATCAATTCTAACTTCAGGAAATTTCTCCTTATTTCTAGGTTGCTTCTCTCTTTGATTAATTTCCATCCATTGTTTCTTGTCCAGCTTTGGAGAATAGATTAATAGATCCCTCTTCTTTGTGGCAACCCTTGAGATACTGGAAGACTGCTACCATGTCTCACCCCTAATCAGAGGTGGTATTCAGCCGGTTTGCACCGGTTTGCGTGAACCGTTGGCAGAAATTTGGCCAAGGCCGCTGAACCAGTAGTGATGGCCGGCTGGCCACGCCCCTGAACTGGTCCCCCAGTCACCGCTTGCTCGCCCCGTCTGCCCTAGTCGTCGCCATATTCTTTGCACACGCGCATTCCATTGCCATGCAAGTCCAATGCGCAAAGAGCATGGCGGCAATGGCAGCAGCTTTTTCCATGACTTCCGGTACTTTTTGGCGGCCTGCAGCCAGCTGCCGCCTCTTTGAGAGCCACTTTGACCAATCAGTGTGGCAATGAGAGTGGTCAGGTGATTCCTGGGAGGAACTGGAATCAACTGGATACCTAGTGATCGATTTAAATAGGGGCAGCTCATTCCTTCTGCTCTGGTGCCTTGGAAAATGCCCTCCCTGGCTACTTTGCTTGAAGAATAGAAAACATAAGACAACAGAATGGCGATTTGGCCTCCTTTAAAAAGTGGGCTTAGGATTCTACATTTGGAAGTTTCCCAGGGAATCTCATGAAGCTACTCCACCTTTCACACCCTGTTTTTTCTCTCTCTCTGCTGGATCACTCCCCACCCCACCCCACCCCACCCAATTCACAGTGCTATGAAATACCTATAGATGAGATGACGTTGTGGAGATCAAGAACCATAAATTGCAAGACGCAAAGTTGAGGAGATCAAGAGAAGGTGAATAACCGCCGTTAGAAAAAAAAAGAAAAAAGAAAAAAGAAAGTAAATATATGTGTCTCAGGATAATCTTGCAGGATCCAATCTGAGTCAAGCTATTCTCCAAAGCACCTGAGGGCAGGACAAGAAGCAATGGATGGAAGCTAATCAAGGAGAGAAGCAACTTAGAACTAAGGAGAAATTTCCTAGCAGTTAGAACAATTAATCAGTGGAACAACTTGCCTCCAGAAGTTGTAAACACACTAACACCAGAGGTTTTTAAGAAGATGTTGGAGTTGGTCACCCAAGGTTTATTCTTCCAAGCTTTTGGACTTCGTTCTGGAGCCCATCATGAGGGAACTTCGGTCTTTCCAGAATATGTACACTGGAATGTTCTGCCCTAATCAACAACTAAAATCTTTACACAACTAGGAATTATATAAATACAAATTTTAGTTGTTGATTAGGGCATAAAACAACGCTTAGAACAGTCCAATGCATATATTTTGGAGAGAGAGTAGTTCTCTGATGATGGGCTCCAGCATGAACCCAAAAGCTTGGAAGAATAAACCCTCAGTGACCGATTCAGATTAGATCTTGCCGAAAAAAAAAAGAAAGCTGATTAGTTTGGCCTTTATCCAGATTTAACAGGGATTCTTCCTGTGTCCTTAAATCACCAAACAGATGAGGTCCTGATTTTTTACTTTTAAATGTTGTCCCAGAAAGCTGGGTTCGCATCTGGTGTGCCACGCCCAATGAAACGCACACCGATTGCAAAGAGTTTATTCTGCGCAGGAAAAGGACACAGGGGGATCAATCCCAATGGGCCTAGCGCCAAAGCCGTTCCTTCAACAATACGGCTTTTATACTTAATTCTCCATAAGCCCAACCCCTTTTAGGATATCCTACCACCTTATCCATGTTACCCAATGTCAGCCAATATTGCTTAGCCAGCATCAGCAATACAGGTAGTCCTTGACGTACAACTACAACCGAGCCCAAAATTTCCATTGCTAAGTGAGATTTGTTCTTTACTAAGTGAGTTTTGTCCCGTTTTATGGCCTTTCTTGCCCCAGCTGTTAAGCGAATCACTGCAGTTGTGGTGTTAGTAACACGGTTGTTAAGTGAACCGGGCTTTCCCATGGCCTTTGCGTGTCAGAAGGTGACTGCGAGACACGGCCAACCGTCATAAATATGAGTCAGTTGCCAAGCGTCTGAATTTAGATCACGCGACCCTGGGGATGCTGCAATGGCCACAAGTCACTTTTTCCAGTGCTCTTGTAACTTTTGAATGAACTGTTGTAAGTCGAGGACTAATGATATCTAGCATCGATCAGCACATTTGTCCCAGTAACAATTAGCACATCTTACCATATTTAGTACATTGTCCCCAAGTTCCTCTCTTCCCCAGCTGTTGCCTTATCCTATATGTTTGGGGTTTTACTTGAACAAGCATTTTTGATCAATTTTGCTTTGGGAACCATTCTTGATCTGCATTTTTGATTTTAGTAATCTGCATCCTGGCAGATTACTAAGTATAAGTCCTAGCTGCTTCTAAATTTTAACTTCTTCTCCCCTTTACATAAGGTAAAGGTAAAGGTTCCCCTCGCACATATGTGCTAGTCGTTCCTGACTCTAGGGGTCGGTGCTCGTCTCCGTTTCAAAGCCGAAGAGCCAACGTTGTCCGAAGACATATGTCTCCGTGATCATGTGGCTAGCATGACTAAATGCCAAAGGCGCACGGAACGCTGTTACCTTTCCACCAAAGGTGGTCCCTGTTTTTTCTACTTGCATTTTTTTACGTGCTTTCGAACTACTACATTGGCAGAAGCTGGGACAAGTAACGGGAGCTCACCCCGTTATGCGGCACTAGGGATTCGAACCGCTGAACTGCCAACCTTTTGATCGCCACTGAGCCACCGCATCCTCCTTTACATAGCAGGTCTACAAATAATTATAACCTTTACCTTTCCCATCACTATTTAACAACAACAAAAACTCATCCTATATTACAAATCAACCCAACATCTAATCATAACATGTACAAATATGTTTTTTTAAAAAAAAGAAAAAAAAAGAACGGTCAATAGGTTAGGCTAAACATATTTATCTTCGAATCCCTCTGTTAACCATCTGTTATTGTATTTAACACGTAGAAAGTCCACAAATGCCTTCCAGTCTCTTATAAAATTGCCTAGTTCTAATGTTTTCTCTTTTTATTTTCAGCTTCCTGCCAGGATGGATTCTATGTATATGTAATCTTAAATTTATTTGATACTCGATACTCATTTTTTCCCCTTTTTTGTACACCAATTTTTTTCTTTTTCATCGTTAGTGATGGATTTTGTTTTGTTTTGTTTTTTTATTTTTTATGATAAACAAAATAAATATATTTAACGCATTTTAACTTGTTAATATGAAGATATTAGAGGATGGGGCTTTTAGTTCTTCCTTCATAAACACTGAAAATATTTAGCAACCAAATCTTTCTTTTCCCTCTGTTCCCATGAGATTGCTTTTGTTGCTCCTTTGACTGGATGCCACCAGATCAGTCTTGTCAATTTTGGTGCAAGAATTACATCAGCAGGTGGAACAGCTGGCAAAGGTTTTCCCCTCCTGGGCTTCTGTTTTTTTTAAATAAGTCTTACCAATAACTCACACTTCACTATCACTCCAATTGATGGTTCGACCCTTTGATTTTATGGCGTCAACATATTTTGACGAGAGTTAAATGATTTCTATAAAGGACTCTAGAGATACTGTTACAGCATAGAGATTGTTACTACTTTGCAACAGGTTCTGTGCTATAATAAAATCAGATCCCTTTATGAAAATCATCTAGCTTTCCCCTCTTTTCATAACTTCTAAATTGTAATATCAAATCCACGAAATATTTGCCAGAGAGATGGTTATTACATTTGCACCCATGTTTTGTGGAAGAAGGGAAAATGGAGAATGATATTTTTAAAAAAGTGATTTTAGAGGAAAGAAAAAAAAAACACCAATTATAGAGTGGAAATTATGCATACCTGTTAGCAGTTTGTAAAACATTGCTTCGGTATAAAGAAGATATTCTTGCACTACTAATCTGATTAATGCACATGGGCTATAGCGTGAATTATCAAAGCTTATTGCATAAATCATAAAATCAGCTACATGTGTACAGTTCATTAAACTTAAATGATGGATTAGTACAATATATGAACTGATCTGTAATATAAGAAGCCTTGGACTGTGCTTTATTTAATAGAAGTACTATTCAATCTCCTTTTTTGTTTGTTTGTTTGTTTGCTTGTTTGGTAAACCCAAATTAGCCACAAAAATGTTTATGTAAAACACAAAGAGCTTTTTCCTTGGCAAGCAATCAACTCTCAGGTTACAACAGGAGCACATGGGGATATCTATTACCAGGAGACAGCCCCGCTTATCAGACCAAGAGCCATCTTAAGGACTAGAAACTTCTTTGTTTTTTTTTAAAAAAAAACAGATCATGCTTTGATTTCCATCCTTCGAATTTTTTAAAAAAGAGAGATCTTTCTAAGAGCCATTCAGATGCTCAAACTGCATCACCTTCGATTTTCTGATCAGGAATAATTTTGGAAATAATGCTGCAACCTGTTTGGATGGAGCCACAAAAAAAAGAGGCGCGGTTTTTAAAAAGAAAGCAAAAGAGAGAGAGAGAAAAATACCTGTTTCGGTGTCTTTTCCCTCCACGATGGGATGCAACAGCAGCAGCAACCGCTACTCACTTTCACAATGGAAACAGGTAACTGGCAGCAAATACCGGATGCAGCTTGCAAACTCCTTGCAAACCTGGCGTGCATCTCAGCAGAGGCACCATAGAGGAGAAGGAGACAGAGAGGACCAAACAATGATGTGGGGTGTTGTTGTTTTTTATTCCGCCCCCTGGAGGCCGGAGGGAAAGCTGAACCAATATCCTAAAGGTGCTTTTTTTTTTTTTTCTTTTCCAAGAGACAACTAGAGTTTCTGGTTTCTTTGAAGTCGTTTCGCTTCTCATCCAAGAAGCTTCTTCAGCTCTGACTGGATGGTGGGGAATGGAAGGATTTATACTCCCTGCAGACAACTGGTCATTTGTGTCAGGGGTGGGTTCTAAATTTTTTTATTACTGGTTCTGTGGGCGTGGCTTATTTTGTGGGCGTGGCTTGGTGGGGGTAATGTGACTGGGTGGGCGTGGCCTTTTTTTTTTTTTTACTTTTAAAAGCATTTTTTCTACAACCTTAAGAGGTTGCAGGAAAAAAAATGCTTTTAAAAGCCTCTGAGGATCAGGCAATTCAACTGAGATCGCCAGAGGCTTTTAAAGGCATTTTTTCCCTACAACCTCTTAGGCCCGTGATGGCGAACCTATGGCACGGGTGCCACAGGTGGCACGCGGAGCCATATCGGTGGGCACGCAAGCTTAGCTCCGACACGTATGCATGCGCCAGCCAGCTGGTTTTCGGGCCTTCTGGGCCCACCAGAAGTCAGGAAACACACAGTTTCCGGCCTCTGGAGGGCCTTGGGGAAGGCTGTTTTTGCCCTCCCCAGGCTCCTAGAAAGACTCTGGAGCCTAGGGAGAGCAAAAAATGGGCCTACCGAGCCCATTGTGCCATCACGTGCCAAAAGTAGGGGGGGCAGGGCGCATAGAATTATGGATGTTGGCACACGTGTGTGTGACCCCACCACGCTCCCCCCGCTTTTGGCACACGATGGCAAAAAGGTTAACCATCACTGTCTTAGGCTGAAGAGGTTGCAGAAAAAAAATCCTTTTAAAAGCCTCTGACGAGCCGCGCGATCATCAGAGGCTTTTTTTTTTATTTTTAAAAGCATTTTTTTCGGCCAAAGAGGTTGTAGAAAAAATGCTTTTAAAAGTAAAAAAAAAAAAAGCCTCTGATGAGGTGGGTGGGGTAAGTGAGCGGCGACCGGGCCGGGGACTGGTTCGGGGGTATAGCCAGCCAATGTTATTACTGGTTCTCCGAACTACTACAAATTTTTACTACAGTGGTTCTTGCGAACCGGTGCGAACCGGGAGCAACCCACCACTGATTTGTGTTCTTTTAGGGAATCATTAAGGTCATCTGAGGGGTTTATCTGTATCCTCAGGGTCACCTGAGTTGTGCAAATGGGTGTGGAGCCTTCTTGGAACTGTTGAAAGGACTGTGTTGCAGACTGGAGATAGAGGATGTCTATCCCTCCCCCCTCTGTTGAGAACAGGCTTGTTCCGATTTTGACATAGATGGCCACTTCGACTCCTCTTTCAAGCCAGAGGTCCTCTTTGTCCAAAATGTGGACTTTGCTGTCTTCAAAAGGGTGGCCTGTGTCTTTTAAATGCATAAAGACCTCAATTTCTCATGGATGCTCTAAACAGGTAGTCCTCAACTTACAACAGAGGTGGGTTTCAGCAGGTTCTGGAGAACCGGTAGCGGAAATTTTGAGTAGTTCGGAGAACCAGTAGTAAAAATTCTGACTGGCCCCACCCCCATCTATTCTCTGCCTCCCAAGTCCCAGCTGAGGAGGAAATGGGGATTTTGCAGTAACCTTCCCCTGGAGTCGGGGGAGGGGGAATGGAGATTTTACAGTATCCTTCCCCTGCCACGCCCACCAAGCCACACCCACAGAACCAGTAGTTAAAATTTTTGAAACCCACCACTGACTTACAACACTTAATTTAGTGACCGTTCAAAGTTACCACGGCACTAAAAAAAAGTGTCTTATGACCATTTTTCACATTTACAACCGTTGCAGCATCCCCATTAATGTAGGTAAATGCGAGTCCAGCTGGATGATCACTGAAGGGCCCTCTTTATTCATAGTATTGTAAGAAAGGAAATGCGCTTGTTTGAGGGAAGCCAATTAACCAGTTGAAAGGCAGAGAATTCCTTTGAAGTAGAAACATTCACAAGAGGGGCCCCTCAGTTGCCAGAGATAGAGATATTTGTTTGAAGGTTAAAACAGATCAAAGGATGACCACATGTAATATCAACAAGAGATAATTTGAATCTATGCTTCAGTAATTGGCAAAAAGAATTATGACTGTGGGCAAAGAATAATATGAAACTTGGTAATTGGGAAGTGTCAATTAAATATGACAAATGTATATGACCACATAAACTGCTGAGTTAACAAAATCCTTTGTCTTAGAAGAGTATAAAAACCATTGTACCTAATTTCTGTCTTTGTTCAACGCTTCATGTACAGAGCTTTGAACCTATTGCGCAATATACAATGTCTCTGGCTAACCCTGAAAAGTTGTGTTGGTCTTATTAAATCTACAACACTGTGGTCAGGTGATCAAAATTCAGACGCTTGGCAACTGACTCATATTTATGACGGTTGCAGTGTCCCATGATCAGCTTTTCTGACCTTCTGACCAGCAGAGTCAATTGGGGAAAGCAGGATTTACTTAATATCCATCTTACAACTTTAACAACTGCAGGGATTCACTTAACAACTATGGCAAGAAAAGTCGCAAATGGAGCGAAACGCAGTTAACAACTGTCTCGCTTAACAACGGAAATGTCGGGCTCAGTTGTGGTTGTGAGTCGAGGGCCCCCTGTAGTAGCTTATGGAATATGGCATCTCCATACACAAAGCAATACATCTCAACTTCGATGCAGTTAGTCCACAACGTGCGACAACTAAGGCCAAAATTTCTGTTGCTGAACGAGGTAGTTGTTAAGGGAGTTGTGCCTTATTTTAAGACCTTTTTTTTTTTTGCCGCAGTTGTTAAGTGAACCACTGCACTTATTACATGAATCGTACAGTAGTTCAGTGAATCAGGTTTTCCTCGTGGACTTTGTTTGTTGGAAGCTGGCTGGGAAGGTTACCAACAGTGATGATATGACCCCAGGTTGCAGAAACTGTCATATATACACGTCAGTTGTCAGGCACTCAAATTTCAGACATGTAACCATGGGGATGCTGCAACAGTCGTAAGTGTGAAAACTGGCCATAAGAAATTTTTTTCAGTACAGTCGTAACTTTGAATGGTCACTAAAGAAATGGTTGTAAATTGAGAACTATTTGTAATAGCCTTGATACCCTGCTAGTGAACATTCGGGGATCTCTAGTCAGTCACTGTTTGGAGGCAGAGTATTGAGGTTGATGTCCCACAGGTTGACAGTTTATTTAACCAGAAATACACTTATCAGCTCAGCTCCTAATTTCATTGGGTTTCAGCACATGCCTTAACACAATGCACGATTTACCTTTGTGGGAGTTTTAACGCTCACCATGGACTTGTGCAAATAGGATTCTGGGATGGATAATATGACACAGAGCAACAGAGCTTTTAACAAATGTCTTTGCCAAGCGCAAGGCTGCAGGTTCTTCATATGAAATGTGAAAGAAAGAAAGAAAGAAAGAAAGAAAGAAAGAAAGAAAGAAAGAAAGAAAGAAAGAAAGAAAGAAAGAAAGAAAGAAAGAAAGAAGAAAAAGAAGGAAAGGAAGGAAGGAAGGAAAAGGAATGAGTGAGAGAAAGAAAGAAAGACAGAAAAAGAAAAAAGGAAGGAGAGAAAAGGAAGGAAGGAGGAAAAAGAAAGAAAAAAGGAAGGAAGGAAGGAAGAAAAGGAATGAGTGAGAGAAAGAAAGAAAGACAGAAAAAGAAAAAAGGAAGGAGAGAAAAGGAAGGAAGGAGGAAAGAAAGAAAAAAGAAAGGAAGGAAGGAAGAAAAGGAATGAATGAGAGAAAGAAAAAAGAAAAGGGAGAGAAAGGAAGGAAGGAGGAAAGAAAGAAAGAAAAAAGGAAGGAAGGAAGGAAGAAAAGGAATGAATGAGAGAAAGAAAAAAGAAAAGGGAGAGAAAGGAAGGAAGGAGGAAAGAAAGAAAGAAAAAAGGAAGGAAGGAAGGAAGAAAAGGAATGAATGAGAGAAAGAAAAAAGAAAAGGGAGAGAAAGGAAGGAGGAGAAAGAAAGAAAGAAAAAAGGAAGGAAGGAAGGAAGAAAAGGAATGAATGAGAGAAAGAAAAAAGAAAAGGGAGAGAGGAAGGAAGGAAGGAAGAAAGAAAGAAAGAAAAAGAAAGAAAGAAAGAAAAAGAAAGAAAGAAAGAAAGAAAATCTCCCTTAACATTCAATCTTTCCTCTGTTCCACTTCATTTAAACCTCCCCATCCTTTCCAGCTCAAAAAAAATAAGAATTACATTACATAAAGGGAAAAAACCTGACAAAAGGATTGAAATTGGCCAAAAGGTACCAGCCTGTTCAGGAGAACATTCCATTCAGGGTGCCGGTTTTTTCCACCCATTAATTAAGAAAAGAACCTTTCCTTTATGAGATAATCACTTCTATTTTATATTCTAATTACACAGGAAATAAACTACACCTGGCCAGAGTGTCTGGCCCTAGAGTGTCGCCTTTTTAAACAACCAGCCAATTACCTTTTCTAAAAGTTCTTAAATTTCACGGGCTTTCAAAGAACAAAGGAACTAAACCTACGGAAATTTGACTCTCGTCACCATCTCCGATAGCTGATCCGGCACTTTGCCTATATTGCGCTCTCGGAAATAACGTTCTCTTCTGCTTTGAGCAACTGCCTTTATTGGGCATTCTTTCAAATAAACCCGCCTGGGAAACGGATACGATTTTCCTTCCAATCTGATGGCCAGACTGTGAATTGGCCCAGTCAAATGCTGAGTTTGGTTTTCCCTGGTGCAAAGTAGCCAATTATCGCACAAGGCGGGAAACTGCAACTTGTTTAGTCTGCACAGCGCAAAGAGGTGCGTTCTCGGGATTACATCACCAATTGAGAGCCCCCAATACATAGCATAGTGCTTATACACTTTTGGGAAGCCAAGGCACATGATCATTAACAGCAGTAGGCAAGAAGAAATAAAATATTCACAGCCT